GATTCTTTACTAGAATTCTCTAATACTCTTTTGAAAACTCTTTCCTCTTGATAAATTTCATAGGTAATCTTTTCTTTGTCTAAATATGTTTTCAAAGATTTGGTATCTGCTAATTTAAAAATGTAAGGAGCAATTTTTTCACTTTGTTCTTTCTTCAGAATATTTCTAATGGTGCTGTAATTCTTTGGTTCCATGGTAGATCTGATGTAAATGAATTTCATATTAACTATTTTTTTATATAGGAGTAGTTCTATATATCACTTAAGATAACAAATGGGATATTATAAAATTGTTAATAATTATAATCACATTATGAAATGACTAAATTTTGATCCCTGAAATTCTTGATAATACCAATGTTCACTTTACCTGGTTTGTTGCAGCATGCCCCATATGTTCGTTAAACTTTTTTGTTGTAAAGAACTTTTATTTATTAATAAAAAAAAGAATCAAATAAATCAATGTATGTTGTAAATGAAAAAAAAAAGGTGTTACACGAAATTTACTTAGTCTCAATTTCTTAAATGTATAACAAATTCGGAATTTTCAAAATGCTAAGGCTCTGCCAATTTTCAGTTTAGAAAAAACCAGCCGATAAGTTGTGAAGCTTGAGTCATGAACAATAAAACTTATTGGTTAAATTTTTTAAAATGATATAATTCTTTTTTGTTTTAGTATTTTGAAGTTACTATAAGCTAATGATTATAGATGATCTGCACCGTACTAAATTCAAATGTGATGGTAGCTTTGGATTGATCAAAAATTCTATAGAAAGACAAATGTAGATTGTATGAATCATGTTGTAAATATTATAAAAAGACCTAGTATTGCTGGATTGAATAAACTCAATGCTATGAAGGTGAAAAAGGTTTTCAATACTTGGACATCAAATCAAGTTTAGGAGTATATTTTAAGGAGTTAAATGAATTTCTGATCCTGGTGTTTAGAAGTTACTGAAAACTAGAAAATCAGAAATCTCATATGCAATCACTTCTTTATCTTAGGTTTCATGGTAGTGAATATACGAGTATTATCCTAAGAAAGTTTGTTAATTGAGTATATAAAATTAGTATTATGACTAACCAAGGATTAGATTAATAATTATTATTATTTCAATAAATATATAGTTGCAATTTACAAGACTGATGAAAGTGTTATTTGAGGATTAACCAAAGAAAAAACATTGTAAGGAAGTACAATTCAAATACTATAAAGGAAATGTATTTGCTTATAAAATCACATTTACTCTTTTTGCAATCTTATCAAACTAATCTATCAACAAAAAAAAAAGACAAAAAATTAAAAATCGTTTCCAATTATGATGATGTAATCCAACCACGTAAACCATCCTTACTTTATACTATAGAGAGGATCTAACTGATCCATCAAAGAATATTCTGGAGAAGGCTCACTTTACAATGACTCCAAAGAAGATTGAGCAATTAATTATATCTCTTAATGAATGAAGATAAAATTTAGGATGGGAGATGGAGAAACAGAGAAAATTCAGACTCCCATGAACTTACGAAAGTTGTAAGAAAAAAGGATTCTGAACTCTACAAAAAAGGTACCTTTTTTAGCCTAAAGATAATCTGATTAAAAAGTTAGTACCATAAGCAGGGTATGTATAATAAAGGGGCAGGTAACAGGCGGGAAATCAAGAAATTTCCTCGACCAACTAAAGCTTAGATGTCTGAAAGTTAATGAGAAGAGCAGAGATCTCCATTTCCATGATTGGATAAGAGAAAATATTACAAATGATAATCAGCACACATACATTATCAGAAATATAAAAGATGCCTTCAAATGATTTTTTTTATTCCATTTTACAAGAAAGTAAAGGGAGAAAATATTTAGCAACGAGTTGGCAACCTCATTGATAACGATTTTGCTATTGTCACTTTGGAAAGCAAGTCAAAGGATTACAAAACACTGTTTTTGCTCTGGTAGTTTTATCATCAGTGATGCGTTGATATGATTGTTCGAGAAAAGAAGTAATGAAAAGTAGATTTTTTTTTCTTTAATTATTAAAAAAAAATAATGATAATAGTATTTTTAATATTTTTAATAGTAATAATAATATTATGTTTTTGTATGTGATTTATGATATATTGCGATGTATTATATAGATATAAATAAAAGTCTAAAATAAATGAAAGAAATAAATTAATGAAATAATAATATTAAAAATATTCTACACTAATTATAAAATGCTAATATGCTAATGATTATTTGATTTTTTTATTTATAATAAAAAAATTATTTCGTTTTCTAACAACCAATCTACTAATTAATTAATTAACCATCGCCACATTATCAATCATGGTCAACATAGATTAATCAATCACTCCAATTAATTAGATTCCACTCCGTTAACGTTTTTATGATCTTGTTGATTTGAGTTGGGTGATATTATATTGTTTGATGGTATTGATGATGATGATGTGATATTATTGTCAGTAGTAATTTTATGGTCATTACTATTATTATTAATACCATTTATTAATACATTGTTTATGTGATGATTATTAATGCCATTATGTACGTGATTATAATTATGATTATTATTATTATTAGCATTGTTGTTGTTACGATAATTATTAGGGAATCCAGGACTATTATTAAATTTAGTAGGGCTCATATATTTTTGTTGTGTTTGAATACCATTTGTATTGTTTCTATTATTGTTGTTGTTATTGTTATTTTGACGATTAGTGTAAAATCTATTGCCACTATTGTTAATATGTTGTTGCTGCTGCTGTTGTTGTTGTGGTGGTGGTGGTGGTGGTGGTCGTTGACCAACTATAAATATATTATGATATAATATAATTAAGGTCATTTGTGATGTTTAATGGTATGTGAATATCATTCTGATAAAATAAAACTATAATTACCTGAATTATTAGCATTGTTGATTTGATTGTTAATATGATTGTTGATATGATTGTTAATATGATTGTTGATATGATTGTTGTTATTAGGGTGAGTGTTCTTATTATTATTATTTAATTGAATAGGAGCACCGTTTGTGGGGATATTATTTGATTTAGTGGGGATGATGTTGTTGTTATTATTGTTGTTGTTGTTGTTGTTGTTGTTGTTGTTGTTGTTGTTGTTGTTGTTGTTGTTGTTGTTGTTGTTGCTCATACGTGGTTTTCCTGGTTCAACACGTAACGTGCCTTGTGTTACATTTTTAATCTTAAAGATGTTATAATGAAAGTAAAATAAAAAATTTAATAACAATAATTATTATTAAAAACATCATTCTCTAAAATATTATAACAACAAAAAAATCATAAATAAATAAATCATCATCATCATAATTACCGTTGAATTTAATAACATGGCTTTTTGTAATGCTTCTGAAGTCTTAAGATCGACATGTGCGAATTGTTTACCTTGCGTGTGTCTAACATCAACAATCTATACGTGAGATATTGTTGTTATTATTATAATAATAAGGAATTTGAAATATTGGATATAAGTTATTAGATTGTTTAGATTGTTTTATATATGAAATTTGACATTTTTGTATCAAAATTACAACAACAAAAAATGTTTTATTAAACATACATCATCGGTATCAAATAAACCACGAAGTTCCTCCATTGTCGTTGATCCTGTCCAAGATATGAAGACAGTATACTGATCATTATTGTTATTGTTGTTATGGTTGTTATTGTTATAGTTATTATTATTCTGTTTAATAAATGTATATTATGCATTAATAATGATATAAACTATGATTATGATTATTATTGTTATTATAATAAATACCTTTTGACGAGTATGGAAATTATTATTATTGACGTTATAATTAATTTGCCTGATACTAGGATTATTATTAAGGTTGTTAAGATTGTTGTTGTTGTTGTTGTTGTTGTTGTTGCTGTTGTTGTTGTTGTTGCTGTTGTTGCTGTTGTTGTTATTATTATTATTATTATTATATCTCTTTTGTGGACTATTATACTTGGCTGTATTAATCGTATTGTTAGTGTTAGTATTATTTGGATTTGTAATATATTGTAATGGTTGTTGATGATGATGGTACATGGGAAGAGAAGGAATAATCATATTAGGCACAACAGGCATAATAGGTTGATTCGGAGTGGTGTTATTAAAATTATGTTCAAACGGTTTAACTGTCGGATTTGTTGTTGTTGTTGTTGTTGTTGTTGTTGTTGTTGGAATGATGATATCATGATCTATGCCAAGTCTATTTTCGTTTGTAGTAGACGACTAAAGTATATAAACATATATATGTGAATGAATATATCATATAAATAAATATAAATATGAATATAATATTAAATATATACATAAAAAATACTTACATTAAGTGTTGAGGTTTCGTTTGTAATAATATTACTTATATTACTTTCAATTTCGAATGGTATATGATGGGGCTGATATAAAGTAGTATTATTACTAGATATTGATGAATTGGTTCCGGTGCTCTCATCTAAATTATCGAAAAGAGCATATGATTAATTGATTGATAGATTGGCTAGTAATTTCACCTTTCCTTTATAATAAATAAAAATTCACCTTCTGATGATGACGAAATATTATTATTGTTTGAATTGGATGTGGAAGCAGCACTTGAAGACCAATTATATGAATGCGTATTATTCTAAAAAAAATTATAAAAAAGAAAAACGATTAGATAATTAATTAATTATTCGTCGCAACGCACCAAACATCTTTATCTCAAATTATTATGTTGTCTCACCTCTTCTAAGAAGTGTTCATCGACACTTTTTAATATTGCTTCAACTAATCTTAGTTTATTATCATCTAGATTATCCAATGTCTTGTTATCACTGTTGTTACACTAGATGAGTTTTTTAATTTGAATTATTATAACGTAAAAATTCCGTGATGCTACCAATAAATAATATGATTTAAAAATTTACCAGTAATCTAGTGTTTTCTTTATTTAATTTATCAATTTGTTCTTTTAAACTTTTGTTTTCTTCGTTCAATCTTTTGATTTCTTCATCTTTGGACTATTAATGAATTAATTAATTAATGTGATGATTTTTATTGATATAACAACATATAATACATATATATATTAGTTACCGCTAAATCTCTATCATAATTTGTAGTAATTGCTTTACCACGCTCTACGAAATGTGCAAAGAGGTCAAAAGTATCAGCTGCTCCTATCGTCTGTTATGGATAAGTAAATAAAATATATGTATGAGCATATATATAATAAAAAGAAATATAAAAAGATTTAAAAATGTGTATCGCGCACCATTTTACTTTGAGGATCAATGAATCCGCTCATTTTATTTTTTTAATAAATTTATAAATGTTGGAGTGTATTTATTTATTGAGTAGAGGAAAATTAAAAAAAAACAAAATAAAAAAGTTGGAAAATATTTTATTATATTTTTTTTTTAGAATGAAATTTGTTTTTTTTTTCAAGAGAAATCCTGGCTATATTTATATTATTTATTTCATAAAATTGTAAATTATTGGTTAATAATATATTAAAAAATTTTCCTATTATATAAACCTAAAATCAATTAATACACATTAGAACGTATTGAATATATTAAAAATGTTGGCATATTTATTTATTATTTATTTACTACGTCGTTTATTATTATTATTATTATTATTCCGTATTTTGGTTTGGTTAATCACTTAATTATATACATTTTAAAGAGTCAATAAGAGAGTTAAAATCAGAAAGTTAAAATTAATTGACAAGATCAATTCAATAGCTTTATATCAATCGTAAATTCATTAATGGTTAGTTTAATGGTTTATAAAAAACTTGATGATCATCATCTATTTAAGATATTAATTAAATATAGCATTCATTCAATTTAGTCAATTAAATAGAAGATTTTTGGTATCACAGTTATTTTATTTGTAATGGTGTAAAAATAGTAAACAATAAATTCCTATTTATTTTACTATTTTAAAAAAAAATTTTTTTTTTATAACAAGTTTTTTAAGGTAGTTTAGGATTAATAATATCATGCAATTATAAACAAAAACTATTTATGATTTTGTTTTTTGTTTTTTTTTCTAATAGAAAGAACCAGAAAAAGATGAATAGAGTGAATAAATCATTTTTAAAAACAATACCAATCGCTCATTAATCATAATAACGATATTATTATTATCATTATTATGATAATGATTGTAATCGTAATAAGTCGTAATCGTAATCGATAATTAATCATTTTCTCAATGTAGCTAACAGCAATTTGAAAAACCCGCGTTTGCAAATCTCACATCTCATTTAATGTAAGGTGAATCAATAATCGTGCAACTATATTTTTCTTTTTCCATGCAGATAAATAAACAAACTTCTTTTCTCAAGATAAAAATCAATTACAAGTCTTTAAACATTCATTCATATTCAATTTACACTTATTCTACATATTTATATTACTGCACGTATAAATATCACATGTTTACATTTGTTTATGTCACATAATCGTCGCCCAATCAGCAATTTTCCTGATTAACCTGTTATAATATTTAAATATATTCAATTACTAATATATTTTCTTCTCACATTCATCCATTCATTCACATTCACATACATACATACATACATATATACACACACATACATATAAAAGTAACTGATTGACAGAGAAAGAAAGAGATGCGAGAGAGGAATGGATGAATACGTGTGAGAATGAATGTGAATGATTTATTTGATATTTGATACTTTTGATAAAAAAAAATGATGGATTTACAAAGCGCAGGTAAAAAAAAAAAATTAATCTCATGATACGTGTAAGCAGAGAAAACCATATAACTTATTGGTTAGCTTTTAGATAGATAATTTCAAAATTTTAACACAAATAAAAATTTTCCATTTTCTCACTTTTATATCACCGAATTCTCACGATCACTATCATTAATAAATTAAAATGTCAAAAATTTTGTAATATTTACATCACACATGACCAGGACTCCGAAAACCAATAGATATAAAAAACATAAGGTTATGTCTTTTACTATAAAAATAGACGAGCAGCGGTAATAATCTATCTATTATTATAATTACTATTACTATATTATATTTTTCGGAATGCGATTGTAACAAAAACGTTTCAATGAATCTACGTTACACGCAGTATTGGCATAAGACATTACTCTATATCTTTTTTGGTATGTGATTGGCTGCGTCAAAGTATACTATACTGTTTTTGGTAATCTGAACCATCAACTCTGTTACACGTGTATATAGGATGATCGGTACCATATTTAGAATAATTCACGTGATTTATCCATTTGCGGCTTATTTTGAATATGCATATTCACTCTTCGTATGCATATGTATTTATTTGTTTATTCAATTTATAGTCTTTTTCAATTGATTATATCAATGACATATAGATATTCTCATTAAAAACAATTATTAATCTATTAAATTATAAAAGTATTATTTTAAATTATGATTCAATTTCACACACAACAATCCTAAAAAAAAATGCGGGTTCAAATATTTTCATTTGTATTTTATTTGCCTTGGGACATATTTCTAAATAGATGAGGGATATATTTAATTCACATCTTTAATTTGTAATCTTTCCTTTTTCTATTTAAATTATTGAATTTTTTTAGTTCAATAGATTTATTTCACAAATGGGTAAAATTTGGCTTTTTTGGATAAAGTGACAGATAAAAAATTCACAATTTTTATAATTGCCCGAGGTACATATACACGGATTTGATGTTTTGAGTCATAAAAAGTCTCTAAAATTTATTATGCTTTGTGATATTTATTGGTTTGTATTTTTTTAAATCCTGTTCTTGCACTTTCTGCATGCTTTCAAGATTAAAAGCAACGTTCCTACTATAATTCATCCAGAATTGCGATAAATGTACCAATTCATTATTATTTCATTAATTCGCTAAACATGAAAATATTAATCATCATCATCATTATTGTTTAATAATAATAAAAAAAAACCTGGGTACGATCATTAACATCTTCTAAAGCATCATTAAGCTTTATCTATGAGAATAAAAATAAGATTGTAAATTCTTGTGTGATCAAATCAAATAAGATTTTGTGAAATTTATAAAAATGAAAACTTACAATGTTTAAAACAATTCTGTGTAGTAAAGTTCGTTGTTGTTCTTCATGAGGATTTTCCATACTTTCCATAATATAATCATTATTGCTATTATTACTATTTGCCATATATAGGTAAAAAATTTTAAAAGAATAAAGTTTGTTGTTTATTGTTTTGTAACACGCTAGTTTTTAATATAGATATGAACATGGAATTTTGATTGGTAGAATTTAAAATTAATGTGATTGGCTAAATTGAGAATCATATATATTTATATTGATTTATTAAAAATGAAAATATAATCTTTGATAGAATTTATTGTCATCTAAAGTTAAAAATCTTCTCTTGTTTTAGCTTGTTCTCTAAATACAACTAACATAATAATAATGTTTGATACTGCAGTACTTACAGGTTTTTGTATAGTGCATGCCACAATAACCCATCAAATAACAATTGACCAATTTTAAAACCTAAAAAAGAAAATATCGTGTGCTTATCAAAAAATTATTGAGATGATATTTGATAGCTTTTGACTAGTCCTACAATCTATCATTGAGACAATTAAAAAATAATAATTGGTTCAGGAGTTATAAGCTTTTGAAAATCATGTAATTTTTATATGTTATATGGGACTAAGGTTGCGGGAGAAACTCCTCCAGAAATCAATCGACAGAGTTTCAGCAGGTTACACATTAATTGTTTATTAGAGTTTCGGCAGAGTTTCGCATTTGGGGTTTTTGCCAATCATCATAGTTTCGACAGGTTACACATTAATTGTTCATTAGAGTTTCAACAGAGTTTCAACAGTCATTAAGAGGTTTCGCCCACAACCTTAGGTGGTTATCACCGCCACTCATCATCACTCTAGTTTTTTTGAAAAATTGGCATCATGGTACAAAAAGTTCAGTGACTAAATGACTTGCACTATAGTTCCCAAATAATAATAGAATGAAAAAAATGTTATTCATAACTCTTTAACATTATATTAACTTTTTGCTTGTTTCTCAAATGTTAAAGGAAATACCTTGATGATGTTTATGATGAAAATGTTACAGAACCAATTGCTTCATTCTCAAATGTAAGTATATTGATTACTATTGTGATCAACTGTTTTTTGATTTTTTCAATTTAAACTGTTATTAATTAATCTTATATTAATATACTATTTCCAATCAGAATGATGAACAAAAGTGCATCAATGTATTCAATAAATTGAAAAAATTTTTTAGTAATCAGTTTTATTTTGAAATAGAGGATGTTAATAATATGCTCGAAGATAACAATGAGATATAAAGAAGCAGAATAGAATATATAAAAAGTTTTGTTGAAAAAATTAAAAGCAATAACAATACAACAACAATAGTAAGTTTTAAACAAAAAAATCCCACTTATCAATTGCCTATTTCTAAAAATTTAATTTATATCCCTATTATAAGGATGATAATAATTTTAATGATATTGTAAGTATTTTTAAGACATTTTGCTTTCTGACACATGGTGATAATTATCCATTTATCCATTTATTTTTTAATTGTACTACAGACTAGTCCCTTTTTCTCCACAAACACCATCCTCCCACTATAAATGAAGTCGAAATTAAAACCCCAAAGTCGAAATGTTTCAACTTGAGGCAACTTAATGATGGTGGCCGAAATTATTTTAGAAAATCCGAAATAGTTTCGCCCACAGACATTGGGAGTTTAGGCTCCTAAACTAGTGGAGAAACTCAAAAATTGCCTAAACCGTGGGCGAAACTCCTAAACTGTGGGCGAAACTCCTAAACTGTCAAACCTATGATTAAAAAATTCATAAATAACAAAACTTTTACATATATTAATTAATCTATATAAAATAATTTTATTATAAAAAATATTTCCAAAACAACTGAAAATCAAAAAAATCTTTCTAATATGTACAGCAAAATAATGTAATAATAATTATAAAAAAATTTTTTTTTACAAATTGGAATTATGAATTATGTAATGCTGTCATAAATGATGATGCCAATTCATTTGAATTATATTCTTCCTCCTCTTCATAATACTCATCATTAGCTAATACGTTTTCTTCATCAGATAAATACTCAGATCTATTTTCATCATTATCATCTAGATCTTGAAAATTAGAATGAGATAAATCCATTGTATTTTGAATAATTAAAATGTAAGGCTCTGGAAGTCCCTCATTAGCATTTATATCATTATTTTCCTCTTCTAATGAAGACTCTTCTATATCATCATCATCCTCATCATCATCCTCATTATCATCTTGAGCTGCCAAAAAAGTATCCAATATTTCATTTTCAGAAATATTTTCTCCTGCTAATTTCAATTCTTCCTTGCAATTTGAGACATAATAACCATGAATTTTGGCTAATGCTTCAACACGCTCAGTACTTAAATTGCACCTTTTTTTCCCATATAGCCATCCACAAGTTGACCAAATCCTTTCACAAGAAGCTGCATGTGGTGTAATAGCAAACAATTTTTTAGCCAATTGTTGAATATAATTAGGTTTATTTCAATACATGACCACCAACTATAAGGAGTCATTAGACTTGGATCATATGGAATGTTATAAGGATCCTGATTTCCTTTATAGTTTATCAATTGACTCATTAAAGCTTTACCAGTTTCCAACTTTGAAGGAATTTTTTCTTTTATTCCCAATTTAATTTTTTTCTTTGAACTTTGATTCAAAGTCATATCTTTTGTATGTGATTTTTGTGAATAAATATGATCCCAAATATTTGCAGCAATTTTAGCAACACGATGAAATTCTCCAAATTTAATACCAGTGCCTGTTTTCAAAAAGATAAGTAAGAGGTAAAGAGATAAATATAAAAATAATCAATCATTTCTTAATTTTTATTTATTTTATTTATTTACCTCTGAAACCTGGATGTAAAAAATAGGACAATAAATACTCATCAAAATCAAACTCCAAAAATCTTTTGTTTAAATTATTAATACAGTGATTACGAAAATTTTGATGGTGTTCAAGTGAAAGCCCATTTACAGAAGCTGCAAGTTTGACCAAACTAAAATAACATTCACCTAGATTCGCAGTTCTGCTTTCAAGCTTTATTATGAGTTCTTTTACTGGCTTTACCACCATAATTATGTCATGTATATCTTCATAGAACCCTCTTCTTCATAGTATCACTTTTACTGAATTATTACTGATAATATCACGATGATTCAAAATTATCTTTACAAGGTAAATATAATTAATTAAATTATATTTAATTTAACTATTCCTTATAAAAATTTTTTTAAAAATAAAATATTAACTACCTCTTCAAAGCAAGGTTTTAAACGTAAAATCGATGCTAAACATTCGTATGTGGTGATCCATCTTGTCTTTACCAAAGTTTTTAGACCACCACCTTCAATGCCTTTTTCTTTAATTAGTTGATTCAGTAACTCTCCAGGACGGTGAGATGTTTTAAAAAAACTTGTTAAAACTTTGCAATAGTTAATTATTTTTTTTGGGAAATTGTGTGCCACAATATCTTTTGTGATCAGGTTCAAGCAATGAGCAACACATCGAATATTCAGTATGAATGGAAAATCATCATGAATCATTTCCCTTGCTTTTTTAACATTTGCTCCACCATCAGACACAATGGCTACAAATTTATTGATTCCAACTTCTTCAAAGATACATTTAATTTGTTCACAAAGGTACTCGCCAGTGTGACTAAATGATGATAAATCCTTAATTTTATATAGATGTTCTTTATGATCAGAGGTAAGGATCACAAAGTTCCAAAGAGAATTATTTCTTGGGTTACTCCACCCGTCCAGGGCTATTAAAATAAATAAAAATTAATTTAATAAACAAAAATGAATAAATAAAAATTAATTTAATAAAAATTAAATTATAATTAAATTTATATAACCACCCAATGTTAAATTTTCGCTGTTTTCTAAAAGCTTATTCATTTTAACAGTGATTCTTCCCAATTCTTCATTAATTAAATGATCAGAAAGCATTTTTCTGGAAGGAGGCTCGTATGCTGTTCTCAGCTGCTTTATGAATTCAATAAAGTATGGGTTTTCTACAAGTTGAAAAGATAAATTACAGACAACAACAGCTTTGGTTAAAGCTTGATCAATATCTTGTTTTCTTTTTGTTGTTAATTTGGTACTTTCAATAAAATCCTCTAAACCAGTTTGGTTTGATGGTTGAATTCTTCTGTTAGATTGATTTACTGACTCATTATCACGTTTAGAAATAACCTCAAGAAAGGCATATTTAACTGAGTCATTAACTGCTGGACATTCAAAAGCTAAGTGATGTTACATCATAGTGGGAGAACCCTTATTCCAATGCTTTCCACAACTTTTACAATCAGCAACATAATGACCAGAAGAAATTTTTATTCCTTTATTAAAGTAATTCCATACTACAGCATGTGGACGTCCACCTTTTTTTCTTTGTGTATCTATTTCATTATTAATAGGTGTTAGAGAAAGCGATGGAGGAGAAGATGAAAGAGAATGTGAAAAAGATAGAGGAGGCGAAAGAGAAGTTTGTTGAGTATTAGAACTTGAAGAATCAGGTGTAATTGGGTTTGACATTTGTGAAAATATGATAAGAAAAAAAAATATAATAATGTGGGAAGATAATAATTAATTTTCTGCATGATTGATTATCATTTATTACAGAGATGACAATTAGGAATTCAAGTCCCAAACATTGTTCCAAATGGACAAAAGAACGAAAGAATTTGTGTGTGTTTTAACAATGCTATCAAAATCCTTTTAAAACCATATTTTTAAAGTTTAATTAATGAATGAATGTATTTAAAATAAAATAATGAAGAAAAAAAATTTATTAATTGTGTAGATTTACATAATAAAATTAATTTAACACATCCCTATATTGTTCTGTTTTGTCTATCACCACCATTAAAAAAGCAAAAAATAAACAGACAAAGTTGTAGTTGGACATTGACGAGAAAATGCTTATTTAAGAATCCAGGTCATTACATGAATAGTAGAAATTTAAACACTAATATTAATAAGTTTTGCAGTTTAGGAATTTCGCCCACAGTTTAGGAGTTTTGCCCACAGTTTAGGAGTTTTGCCCACAGTTTAGGAGTTTTGCCCAAGTTTAGGAG